CTTCACCAGTAAATTCTATTTCTGCCAAGCAAAGCAAAGTGATATTTAGGGATCACTCTGTCGATGTTCTCTGCACAAATTGTTTCCACATACTTAAAGGAAGACTTAGATTTTAATGGATTTTGAACCAAACCTGAAAATCAACATGGCCAACAGCAGCCATCTTGGCTTTTGTGATGGTTGCACGGTTTCCTTCTTAAACACTTGAAATGATGATTTGGTTTCTTGAAACTTACTTCACATGCCTAAAATACCAATTATTCATTCACATTTGATTTTGAGCAGAACCTGGAAATCCACCATGCCACCAGTGGAAGCAGGCAACACATCCATTTCCGTGGAATTCTTGTACTTCTTTGAGGCTAGTTTTTATGAAACAGTTTTAGATTTTCAATAATTATAACTGATATCGAACATTTACATTTTATCAGATCAACTGCATATTCATTGTTTTGTTAACCCATAGCACATACTATAACATGGTAATATGTTTCGACAGGTTTGTACATACGGTGCTGCCACCAAAGGCAAGGTCACCGAATACTCAATTCCGTTGGTGGCAGGGCTCTCACTCGGGAGGTGGCCAGGACCAGTGGGCTATCGATGAGATCATGCTAGGCAGCTATGACCACAAGACAAAGATGGAGGACAACTTCAATGTGAGTATTTTGCATAAAAAAAAATCCATTTTAACTATTTGATAATACTGAATCAGCAATTGGTCAGGTGTCGTTTCAAGGGGTCTGTAAAGTCTGGTGTTAGTAAAAGTAAGTGTCACTAAAGTCAGATGTCAGTAAAATAAGGTGTCGGTAAAGTCAGATGTCAGTAAAATAAGGTGTCGGTAAAGTCAGAAATCATTAAAATCAGATGTCGGTAAAGACTTTAATGAAAACATAATGAAGATGAAATTAAAAAAATATATAATCGACAAACGTGTTCTGTGTGTTAATATTCTGTGGGGTCAAACCTGGATTCAAATCTTTAACTTCGGATTGTTATACCATCGCTGAAACTAATTGAGCTACCTGGACAACAGAAGTGTACAAGCCCAAAAGTGCAACAGTTATATCAAAACGGAAGTTAAGGGGAGGTTTCTGTATATAGGATCAACGACAGTGCAGTGGTACAGGGATTCTTAAATATAAACTTCTTGTTAAAGATCAAGGAGTGAGTACAGTTCCTGTGAACCTTTTATATGACTTGTAAGATGTGTTTTGATTGGTTAGGACCACCTGGATGTTCTGGACTCCCAGGTGTGGTCAACTGTGACGGAAGGTGTGTTGGGCAAGTACTGTCAGGCACGGGACCCTGCCCTCATTCTGGCCAATCAGGAGAACGATAAATTTGCCATCACGAAAGACCTTGACCTTCAAACTGGAGATGTTATACAGTTTAGGGTGAGTTATTAATTATTGCCTGATACTTTACCTGAAATTACTTTATACAGTAGTCACACTTGACTGTATGTTTATTAACAGATATGATAAAAATGTACATGATATCAATACAAATCTAGCTTACCAGTTTGATATGTATTAATTGTCAAAACTTGTTGTTACATTAAAAGTATAAATAGAACAAACAATTAGAAGTCCTATACTGTAGTGCAAAATGGTCCATTTATATCTGATTTTATTTCCAACTGA